TATATTGGAAGAATATCCACAATTCCTTTTTGTTGTCTCTAGCTTTCTCACAAATATTATTCAATACTTAAACAGGTTCTACTGTATTTTCTTCAGATAGACCTGTAATGTTTGAACTCTTTAAGATATTATATATCTTGCAGATGTTACTTAGTTTGTTGATAAGAATTTTTGTAAAACATTTCTAAGTAACTTCTAGAAGAACAATTGATCTTATGTTTTGTAATTAACAATCCTATATTTTTGGTTTGGCAATTAAATAGATATAGATTTGTTTCTATCTGTTAGAAATAGTTTCAAATTCTAAAAACTTGTTTAATATTTTTTAAAGATATTCTTTACCTTAAAGTTTAGTTTCTTAAGTATTTTATAATATATTTGTGACTTGCCAAAAGCTTTATTGTTCAGTAATATTTGTAAAGTTTGCTAGAGTTCTTCTTGAGATATAGAAGTTAGAAGTTCTTCATATTAATTGTAATCAATATCCATCTTAGGTTCATACTTTTTTTTCCAGTTCTCAGTTAAGTGATCAAAATCAATACTTCATTTTTTAAATACTTTTTTATAATATTTGCAAAGTTTTCTTTCTATTTTTACTTTGTTTGTTATGATGTATTCCTAATTATCATTTATAGTTTTAACTCTATTTAAGACTATTTTAACTCTTTTTCTAATTAATATTGAGTTGATTATTTTTCATTGATTGTCTTTAAGGTTATTACATCTTTGTTATAATACTTTTTTAATATCTTTTTTGACTTTCTTACTTTCTTAATTTTGGCAAATTGTTTTGAATGTTCTAATTGTATTCTGGATTTCTTTTTAAATTTTGAATCAAGACATGTTTTATATACTATATTGTAAATATAAGTTTTCAATCTGAAGTTCTGGATAGTGTTTTTTGTTATGTTTTTATATCAATATATTGAGAAACTATATGTTTTCACATGCTTTGATCAACTTTGCTTTTTTAAACAATATGTTAAGTTTGATAGCCCTTCTATATTTAATGAATTTAGGTCTTGATTGATACTTTTTTTCATGTTTGATCTTATCTTCTTTATTGCCAATTTGAATAAGGTTGTTGAAATCATTTGGTTTTTAAAGTTTTTCTATATTTTATTTATCCATTGTTTTATTGATACCTTGTTTAATTTATTTTTTAGTAATGGCATCATTTTTGTCTTGAGTTTATGATTTATACTTTCCCAATACTTTTTCCATTGTTCTTCTGTAAACCCTTAAATATTTATTACTTTAATAACCTTATTGAATTGGTTAAAGATCCTGTTTCTTAAAAAAAGGTTCTTGTCTTGTAGTGTCACTGTTAATATTATGTAATCACTTTCTGTTATATGGATATATCCTAATTTTTGAAAGAATTATTGGGAATTGTATTATATTGTGAGACATCCACAAATAATCAATTCTATTCTTGCTTATAGCATTTTGTTTAATATATGATTTATTTTTCCTTTTCAGATTACCTATATATCAATAAAGTCTCTATCTTTAAAAAAAGTAGAAAGTGAAATTTTTGATTTCTAAGATGACTTAAATATTGTCTTAAATATTGATATTCTATCTTCTATGGAATTATATATTGTATTAAAGTTTCCTATTATAATCAGATAAAACTTCTTTTCTAATTTTCTGAATTAGTTTCTTGACTTTATTTTAATACTCTTGACTTTTTTTCTTATTATTTAGTAGGTAAATCTGTACTATATAGGTTTTATTTCTTTTTATCCAAAAGTTGGCTATTATTATATATCTTTTTTATTTTTCAATTGATATACTGTAATTTTCTTTTTTAAATCTTTTCTTATTAGTAAGCTAACTTCTACTTCATATGGGATCTACTTATTTGCACTAAAATAATATTTATAAAAGAATTGATTCTTGAAGGCCTATCTGCTATTGGTGGAAGTGTGTTTTGTTTTACTTAGTTCTACTATAACTATTCCTTATTCTTCTATTTCTTTTAATAAGCTTTGTTGTTTATTATATCTATTATTCTTCTTATATTATATAAATCTATTCAAATTACTTTACTTTCTATTGTACCTATACTATTTATGTTATCTATCTTTATTTCTATTTTTCCTATTTTATTTTTACTTTATTTTTTAATATTGTTTTTTGTTTGTTATAAATAAGTCTAATTCTTTTTGTTGCTATTACTTTGTTCCTATTGTTTTTATTCTTATCATCTAATTCTCTTTTTGAGTTATGTTATAAGAAAGACAAGAGAATTCATTGCCTTTTGAATAAGTTGTTTCAACTGATACATTTTTTAAAAGTGATTTGCTTTTCTTTTACTTTTTATTTTGAAGGATGGATAGTTTTCTGTTTCTAGTTTATATATTCTATTATTAAGTTTTCTATATTATTTAAAATCAGTTATAGTAGTTCTTGCTGTATACTATTGTGATTGCTAATATTGTTACTATTAAAGTTTTTTCTATTTCTATTCTATTGTCTTTTTTTTTGAAAGTTTAATAGTGTTTTATTGCTTTCAGTAACTAGGTATTATGTGTCAAATATTTTAGAAGTTTGATTCTTTGTATTTTTTTTTCTTTTATTTTCTTTATCTATTAATTTTTTCAAGTTAATAGACTGTATATCAGAATCTAAATTATTGCCAATTTTTATAATTATTTTCTGAGTTTCTCTTGATATATTATTAATTAGTCTGTCCCATTCTTCTATATATGGTTTTCTTGAAGAGGTTGTATAATCTTTAGTATATTTTGTACTCCATGATAATCTTAATCCTTATAGAAAATATATTGTTTGTATGCTTTGTTCAAATATTCTTTGTTTTCAAAACATATTATCATAAAGTTGCATTTTTGCAATATATGGGAATCTCTTAATATATAACAGGCTTTGGTTTTTGTTTCTCCTACTGCTCTGGCTATCAAGCTTAAGTATGTTTTATTTGTTCCAAAAAGTTTTGCTAAATAAGTATTTCATTGCATTATAATATTAATGATATCTCTCTTTAATAGCTCTATTTTAATAATAATTATTTTTGTCATTTTTGTTTCTATTGAAGTCATCCAAATATTCTTCATGTTGATATTAATATGTTTGTATTTTTTGATATATGCTCTTATTCTAATCTTGCTTTTTTGATAGCTGTATGTATTTAGATTTTTGATTTTGTCATATCTCTTGAGATACTCTTTTAGTTGAAATCATATTATTTTTTTATCTATATTTATCAAACTGATATAGAATATTTTTTTGCTTTCTTCTGATATTGACTTTTTGAAAAATTTCTTTTTATTATTATATTGATTTGATTTTTAAGTTGTATGTTTTTTTCTTCTTTATTAGAATTTAATTGTTAAATATTAAAATTTTCTTTTTTACAGTTTATTTCTTTTATATACTTCAGAAAATTTTGTTTTTCATTAATATAGAAGGTTAACTATTTATTTTTATTCGGAATTCCATATATAATAGATTTCTTTGATTTGCTAATAGTTTTAGTAGACTATTTATATATATGAATAGTTCTATTTTAATATTTCCTAAAATATTGATTGTCATAATACCAATTTTATAAGTTTCTTTTTTATTTATATAATATAGATTGTTTGTTACTACTTTTTAATGATTTTGGTAAAATAAGTATTGAATTCCATAATACTCGAACCTTGTATTTTCTTTCAAATTTTTTCTATTATTAAATATTTCTTCTTGTTTATATGAGTTGTTGTCTCAATTTTTATTATTTGTTCATTTTTTAAGTTTATAGTATTTTTTATAGATTAATAATTGTTTTATTTTTCTTTATTACTGGTTCCTTTAATAATATTTAAATATTTATCTTCTAGAAACTATTGTTGTAGATCTTCTTCTTTCTTTTTATCTTGTTACTATAGATATATAGTATATTGTATTGGGATACATTCTTTATAAAAATTATTTTATTTACTCCTAATATTATGGCAATTATATTATCTATAACTGTAAATATTTTTGATGAAGATGTATGTGTATGTCTATAGTTAATAATTATTCCTTCTTTCTATTGAAGTAACTGTTGTGTTACTCATATTTTACTTTTCTCATTATACTATTTACTATATTAATTAAGATATCTAATATCTTGTCTTTTCTATTTTATATTATTTGTATTATTGCTTTAGATTTATCCATATCTATAGTAAAGATATTATAGGTGTTGAATATATATTCTATTTCATCACATGGTAATTGTTTGAATATTTTTACATATTTTATTTATTTATATTTATCAGTAATCTAAATTTAGACTGCAAATAAACTCTTTTGAGATATTTTGATATAGTTGCAAAAAATATACAATATATATAAAAACATAGTTAAAAATATAGTAAGTGAACTCAAACTTTTGAAAACAATTGTATTATAAATAGATTATATATTTAATAAAGCTTGGTTTGTAATTTATATTCTTATTTTCTGGAAAATTTTTTTTTGTTAAGAAAATTAAAGATTAGCAAAAAATTTTATTAAAATTAGTGAACGTGCAATATTTAATAAGTTTAATATAGATACATGTATATTTTAAAAATTAAATGTACTGTTATAATAAAAACTTTTTAATATAATTATATAGCCGCATTCTATATTCTTTTAATATTATACAGTTTGTTTTTTATATTGTATAAAGTTATAATATCTCCAAGTGCTATTTATTTTTTGAAAATACATATTAAAAAAAAAAAAAAAATGAAAACGAAAATAAAAATAAAAATAAATCTATAAAAAAAAAAACACTGATTTTCTATAATTTTTTTTTTTTTTTTGAAGAAAAGACTATTTAAAAGTTTTATTAATTAAATATTGTAAAGCACCATTATTAGATTAGTATTGTAATATAATTGAAGAATGACTATAAGTCGATTATAAGGAATGTATAAAATTTAAAAGTCATGAACACTCCAACGTTGCATTACGAAATCAATTGGAAATTATCTCGGTTTCAATTCTATTTATCTCACTGTTGCTATTATAAATATTTATATCATCATATTCCTTATTTTTTATAGCTTTTGTCTGATCGGTTACCTCGCATTCATTTCCTATTTTAGTGTTAATCGATAATGCTGCAGAAGAAATGTTGCGTTCCCTTGCCGTATCAATATTTTCTCCTGGGCTGAGGACATAAAAGCTTTCGCCTAGATATTCCAATTTATTCTTAAAGTCATCATTTAACGGTTCATCGAGTTCATTTTCTCTACAATCACCATCTTCGGATCTTGCTTTGCTATGATGAATTGGTTTCCCCCCTTTCCTGAAAATGATTTCACTTTCATTTCCATCATAGTCATTGCCTTCAGAAATACTTTTACTTCTGACTCTTTGCTGGCGATGATGTGGTGACAGCTTGTCTGATGGTTCTCCTTTTTTAAATTCTTGTCTCTTGGTCTTTTTAAGCGTTGGCCATGTCGGTGGAAGCGGAAGTGGTGGTGGTCTCGTGGCAGTAGATGAAAGGGATAATGGTGGTGGTATTGATTTTTTAGCTGGTGACTTCGGAATAGAGGATTTTTGTGCCAACGGAAGGGTTTCTGAACTTATCGTTTGCGGTGTAAGTGCGATTGATGGTGTCGAAGCTCGTAATTTCAATATACTTTTAATAGGAGCTGGTGATGGGACGTCTTCGACGAAACTGGAGTTTTGCGAAGATGGATGAGTCATTAAAGTGGATGAAAAGTTTGGAGTTGACGGTGTCGAGGGAGGGAGTGGTGGCAATAGGGAGGGTGAAATTGGAGGTGACGATTGAGGCGTTGGCGGATCATTACTCTGGAATTCGGATGAGGTTAATCGAAAGGGTTGAACTGATGATGAGCTGTAATCTTTCATATCCCCTGATGAAGTTGACGGGGAAGTCCTTGATGTGACCTGCCTCAATTCGTCGAATAAGGTTGAGCCTGTTAGTTGAGGTGTAACTGGTCTTGAAGGAGGAAATTGCGGAGTTGATGGGGTTGAAGGCAGAGGCGTGGAAGGTAAAATATATGTATTGGAATATGAACTAGGGGTTAGAGGAACAAGGTAAGGGTTTTCTGGTTCTAATTCCAATAAGGATTGAGGAATAAGTTGAGGCGTAATGGATTCATGTGTTCCATACACAC